CATTTGGAGAAAGGTGTTTTTTCATTCATCCACAATGATCTTCCATCTTCCTCATTGACCGTGAAACACCCTATGAATATGATGCCCATCAGCATTTTATTTGAAGCACAAAACTAATGTCTAATGTGTAATAAAAAGTGTATTAAAGAAATTCTATTGATGGCGACTTTACATACTTCCAATTACTCACTACCCTAATGTAATAAGCTGGTTACACTGAGTTGCGCCATTCGAAATTGAAATTCCAGAAGGCATTCATCACGAACAAGTTCTCAAGTTGAGAGTTATTGAAAAAAACTGAGGTATTAGAGGGTGCTTTAAAGTCGGAACTCCTCTCTGATACCGCGACAAGGATCGTGACCTGGGAAATGTTTGAGCAATGGTATTTCCCAATTTTTACTTTACTTTTTGTGTTCCTTACAAGTTATTTCTCCTCTTCGACAGACTGCAGTCTAGCTTCTAGGCGTTCTATGTCTTCTTTTGGAAGTGGAAGAAGTTCGACTAGTTGTTGACCATCTGCCTGCCCTACTTGGACTTCTCGATAGCTGACATAAACAGCATCTTCAACGCTCGTAACAATAACAATCACTGATTCGGACTCCAAAGATCCCGACTGCTCTGAATGTCTGTTGGATGATTGTTCATGGAGGAATTCCTGGCTTGAATTGACGTAATGGTAGTGTACTTCGGTTCATTTGACTTGCATATTCCGGAAGCGTTATGCCTCTTGAATTCGACTGATCATGCATTTAAGAATCAAAGGCAATCAAAGTGGTGCGACGAAGAGAGAGGCCACAGTTTCAATTCCCAATTGAAGCACACCTAGTAGGATGATTGGTTGTGTCTAATGAAAGGAAATTCTTGTTTCTCCTCTGGGACCCCATTTTTGTGTTGGAAGGCTTAATAATTATTGAGTAACAGGATTTTTATTTATTTCAAATGGCAGGTTTTATGATATTTATCATTAGCCCTTACAACTTATGGGAAGGGGAAGCATTGAAAAGTGTATCACGACCCAACAGACATTCAAGAAGTATTTGGCCAGAACTCATGTTTCATCACCAGAAAACGCTGCTCTGAGCCCCATATATACATCGACTCTGGTTGAGAACTTGACGAGGGTGGAAAATGTAGGAGTGCTGGGGAACTATGCGCCCACTAAAGTTTAGCCGTGCGAAGGATTTGCCCATAGACACCATCATCTGCAGAAAATTAATTAATTATACGTCTGCAAAGACCTTCAGGAAATATGTCGTAAAACTCGTGTCAACACCTTAGAGCGTAGTGGAAAATGGCATTTTGCGAAAATAGATTTTTTAAATTAGCTTGAATAATATACGTGCAGTATCCTTAAAGTTGACCTTATAATTAGGTGAGATCCACTTCAAGTGATTTAAGTTATTCGATTTGACCTCAACATGAATCAATATTAGCAAAGTGAGTTTCGAATTTATGCTTTCGTGTAACAAGAATGACCGAATTGTTGTCATTTCCGACTCTTTAAAAATGAGATGATATTGACCTCATTAATTCAGTCATGAGAGATGAGAGCGCATGATTTTCCTAACTGCGGATGGCGTGTTGCCGTAGGAAAACGTGCCTGCCAATAGTGTTTCAGTTTCTGAATGATTTTGAGAGCTTCATGAGATTTTTAAATGGTCATAACCATTACTCCTGAGTCAACACAGTCTGCCAACACGGTCTGTGTTCAGTATCACCAACGAATAGAAAATTTGTGCAGAAGGCTGGCAAGAAGTGGGTTGAATTCATCAACCGAGCAAAGATAGTGCATTGTCACATACATATATACAAAGTAAAAATTTTAGATTTAAGAATTTTACCTGAAAATAACTTACAAAATCCATAAGACACCACTATATGTCATACTCCATCACTTCCACACTTCTCACCTCACCTTTCCATCTTCTCTACCTTCGTGTCTGTCTCATTTACAACTGCGGATCACTCTTCTCTTCCCCCCCCCCCTCCCACATCCCCTACCCCTTCCCATTCCCCACTCAGTGAATTCCAAAGCCTAATTATGGACCAATGATAACTATCCTAATAAACCTGTCATTTAGCATTAATACAAAATTTTATTACCTCATGTGGGTGCAAAAGGACACCGAGACTTTCCTTTCAATAAAGCTAACAAGACAGGGATGATATTCTTTACTGACCATTCTTCCAATTTGCTTCTTCCCTGCACTTTCCTCTTAACGTAACACCTTTCGACTGTTTGCAATTCGGATATAAACAAATTTCTTTCTTAACCTTAATCTGCTAAATTTTTCTCTATCAATCTGGTTTTAAAGGATGATTTTTCTAGGCAGTGCTAATGCTTTAGGTAGAAAACCCTTACACTCAAAGCAAGAATTTCAAAAGAGAAGTATGGAATGCATAACATCGACCATAGTTGAAAATTCTCAAAAGATTATTCCCTGTTAGGTCGTGAAATATCCATTGGTAGAGCACATCAACTTTGCATAATCATCTCATTCATTAACCAATAGAATTTGCAGATGGTGAGACAACCAATCAGAGACAAGGAATGTAAGCAGCACGCATATAAATAGGTTGTAAAAAAACGCTGCAACTGTGTCGAAGTGAGTAGCAATGCCTCATCACGCTTCTCATTATTTCTCCTTAGATACTTTGCTAGCTCCACTACCGTGGACTTTGTTGGAAATCCTTTGTAAACTGGACAGGCATTACCGCGAGAGGAAAATTAGGTGCCGTTTAGTATACGAAGATAGAGAACCAATCTTTCTTGGCGTCAATGTAGGTTATTCGTGCAAGTGTTTAAATTTACTTTATTTTTGTTCGTTTTAGCTCCTCGAGGCGAGGGGAATTGCTTATTGCGATCTTCGTGACTTACTTT